ACCCTGAAATTAAAAAAGTTATTGAACAAAATAATTACACTAATCAATGTTTAAAGACAATTGGTAAACAATTAGATAAGATAGAAACTAATCTAGGTGATTATTCTGCTAATTCTACTTCCACTAAACAATCTCTAGATCAACCTTTAATTACTCTTCCTAGTGATCGTTCCAAACGTAAAAGTTTAGCAACTAATGATCACTCAACAGTTAAAGCTATAGAACAATTATTCACTAAATTAGCTACACCTGAACAAGCTTCTCCCTCCAAAGGTCTTACTATTTTAAACCAACCTATTGCACATGTGTCTACTCAATCAGAATCTGATACAACTGATACTGAAATTAATCAATTAGCTCAACAATTTCAATCCCCTACTCAGCTTAATAAATTACATTATCCTAAACCTAATCCTACCTCTCTTACTAAAAACTGGTATTCTAGACCTACACCACCTGATCTCCAATATGAGGAAAATAATCTTGCTAATCAATTTTCTGTCTCTGCTAAAAGATTATATGAATGGAATATTGATGGATTAAGTGAAGATTAAATACTGCAAAAATTAAATCATTTATCTATGGTTACAAATAGTTATTTAACTAATTACCCTGATTACTCTCAACCTGAAATTGCTTCTTTAATCACCTCTGGTTTCACCGGTATGCTCAAATCTTGGTGGGAAAAATATCTCACTGAAGATCAACGTGAATCAATCTTACATGCTAATCAAAAACATACTAATGATCTCCCCATTTTTGATGAACATATTGGTTATTATGTCCCTGATGGTGTTAACACATTAATCTACACAATAGTTAGACATTTCATAGGAACTCCTACTAATATATATTCTCGCATACATGATCAACTTAGTAACTTGACCTGTCCCACATTAAGTGATTTTAGATGGTATAAAGATGTATTTACCTCTAGAGTTATGTTAAGAGAAGACTGTACTAAATCATTTTGGAAAGAAAAATTTATTAATGGTTTACCTAGTCTCTTTGCTCACAAAATTAGAGATGTCCTTAGTCAACCTACTGGTGTTATTGAATATGATAATTTAACTTATGGTGATATCATTAGTACTATTCAAAAAGAAGGATTAAGAATGCGTATTGATCTTAAACTTAGTCAAAAAACTGTTAAAGATAAACATAAGGCCAAATATGAATTAGGTAACTTCTGTGAACAATATGGTTTACCTTCCGTAGCGCCCTCTCGCCGCAAAAAACATAAATACACTAAACATAAGTCATCCTACAAATATTTTAATAAATATAAAAAGAATTATACACCTTCTAAATCCACTGTTAAATTCTATACTAAACCAAAAAAGAAATATTCTAAGAAATCACATCCAAAATCTAAATCTAATAACGATGTTACCTGTTGTAATTGTGGTCAAAAAGGTCATTATTCTAATAAATGTAAAGAAAAACAAAAATTAAAAGATAAAGTAAATCAACTTCAAATTGATGATCAATCTAAGAATCAATTATTTGAAATCTTTCAATTAAATCAATCTATTAGTGATTCCTCTTCTGATAATCTTACTACTTCCTCTGATTACCATTCACCAAGTGATAATTCTGATAATAATATTGAATTAGGATGTAATTATGTTTGTTGTAAACCTGTTAAACAAATTACTGTTCTTACTAAACAGAATCAAGAAGAATCTGCTCTTATTGAATTAATTAGTAAATTAGATGATCCATAATTAAAAAGAAAATATACTGATAAACTTAAATCTATATTAATCAATACTAATCATAAACCTAAACAAGATAAACTTATTATTAGCCTATCTAAAACTTTAGAAAGATTTAAGAACAAACAAAAAGAAGTTACTCTTCAAGATTTACAACAAGAAATCAATCAGATTAAACAAACTATTAAAGAATTACAAAATAAAGATCAATATTTAGAAGATGAAATTATTACACTAAAACTTAATAAAAACTTAGAAAATTTCCAAACTAATAATGATGAATCTCCTCATGAATCTGAACATGATTCTGACCCCACTAATCCTGATAACTTATTATTTGATAATCGATTACACCAATCTCATGATCTTGAAGAAAAAAGATTAAATTTAATTAATAAAATTTATATTCAAAAATGGTATTCCAAAATTAAAATTGTTATTAATAATTTTGAATTAGAATTAGTTGCATTAATTGATACTGGTGCTGATCTTAATTGTATTCAAGAAGGTTTACTCCCTACTAAATATTATGAAAAATATCATGAAAAATTAACCTCTGCTAATGGTAGTAAAATGCATATTAAATATAAATTATCTAAAGTCCATGTTTGTCAAAATAATGTCTGTTTTAAAACCTCATTTGTTTTAGTCATAAATATGACTGATAAAATTATTCTAGGTACACCATTTATATATTTATTATATCCATTTACCACATCTAGTGAAGGAATAACTACTCATGTTTTGGGTCAACCTGTTACATTTAAATTCTTGTCTCCTCCTGAAATATTAGAATTAAATCAATTAAAAGATTGTTCTATTTCTCAAACTATTAATCGATTAACTGGACATTTAAGATATTTAAAAGAAGAAATTAATTACAAAAGAATTGATCAACAATTAACTAATCCGGTTATTATTTCTCAAATTAATGAATTTAAATTAAAATTAGAAACTACCGTTTGTTCTACTTTACCTACTGCATTTTGGCATAGGAAAAAACATGTAGTCACATTACCATATATTAAGAATTTTCATGAAAGTCAAATTCCTACGAAATCTAGATCTATTTAAATGAATCATGAATTACTTGAAATGTGTAAAAAAGAAATCAATGAACTATTAAAAAATCGAATAATTAGTCCAAGTAAATCACTTTGGTCATGTCCTGCTTTTTATGTAAATAAAAATGCCGAATTAGAACGAGGTGTCCCTCGCTTAGTCATAAATTATAAACCATTAAATAAAGTTTTAGAATGGATTCGATATCCTATTCCTAATAAAAAAGATTTGATTAAAAGACTGAGTCAAGCTGTTATTTTTAGTAAATTTGATTTAAAAAGTGATTTTTGGCAAATACAAATTCATTCTAAAGATAGATATAAAACTGCTTTTACTACACCTTTTGGTCACTATGAATGGAACGTCATGCCATTTGGGTTAAAAAATGCTCCTAGTGAATTTCAAAATATAATGAATGATATTTCAATCCATTTAGTCATTTTTCCATAGTTTATATAGATGATATTCTTATTTTTTCAAAATCAATTAGTGAACACTGGAAACATCTTACTGCATTCTTTTATACCATTAAGAGTCATGGTCTAGTCATTTCTGCTCCTAAGATTAAATTATTTCAAACCAAAGTCAGATTTTTAGGTCATGATATTCACCAGAATACTATTTTACTTATTAGTCGTTCCATTGAATTTGCGTCTAAATTCCCTGATGAAATCTTCGATAAAACTCAGCTACAACGTTTTTTAGGATCACTGAATTATATTGCTGAATTTTACAAAGACCTTAGGAAAACTTATCAGCCCCTGTTTGATCGGTTAAAAGACAATCCTCCTCCTTGGTCTTCTACTCATACTGCTATTGTTAAACAAGTTAAACAATATGTCAAGTCTCTTCCTTGTCTTGGTATTCCTACTGAAAATTCATTCAAAATTATTCAAACTGATGCCTTTGATATCGGTTATGGCGGCATCCTTCTCCAGCAGCTTACTCCTTAGTCATCTGAACAACTTGTTCGTTATCATTCTGGTGTCTGGAATAAAGCACAAAAGAATTATAGTACTATTAAAAAAGAA